ACTGAAACCAAATAGCGGGGCAAAGTTGCATGTTGCAGCGAGAGCTCTAGAGAGACAGCTGGGAAAGGGCTGTGTGTCAGCTCTCTTGACATTTTGCTGTCAAATGTCAAAGTGTGCTTGTGCAAGCCTTGTCCTCCCACAGCAGCTTCTGCACCAATGTGGAGCGTGTGTTGCTCAGCAGGGCTTGTTGGCAGATCAGTGCTGGTGCTGGGACCCGGCTCCAAGCAGCCATTTCCCAGAGGCTGCATTGTGGCAACACTCAAAATATAGCAAAGCCTTATGGAGAGATGTGATCTAAGCATTACAGTCGGCTACAGAGCCAGTAACAAGGGCAGGGGAGGCCTGCATGAGCATATAGGCACTGGGGGATCGTCTTTTTTCCCATAGTGCTGGGGAGAGGAGACAGGGTAAGTAGGGGCTCCTGCTGCTACAGGTGCCGTCAGTGGTGTGCAAGGTCCAAAATGGAGCATGAACGCTGCCCCAGCTGTTGAACACCACTTTCAGCGTGTGTGTGTGTGCTAGGCACAGAGCTGAGAGCTGCTCTTCCCCATGGTGGTTCTTGAACGTGATCTTGGGAATCCCTGATATGAAAGATCTCCCCCCAGGAGCCAGGCTGAGGATAGATTCATTCCTTTCAGCCTCTGCAGCAGCAGCTGTGGGGAAGGAGCCAGAGACTTGTAAGACAGAGGACTCCCAGAAAGCGAGGGGAGTGAAGGGTGATACAGACATTAGGGAGCCCATAGGCAGGTGAGAGTTTAGGGTTGCACAGTAGTCCAGCTGGTTGTGGTCCAAGTGGTCCAGGTGACCTCTGCACTTCAGACCCTAATTCTGGGTGAAACATCCCAGCAGAAGCAGGCATGAGGGTGCATGTGCCTCTCATGCAGGTCTCATGATCATCTCTGGTAGAGTCTACCAAAAGGTTTGTCTATTCACTAACACTGGTGTTAGCATTAACTTTTACATCATTGGGTGTTTACTGTACAGAGTAAGTCCATTACCATCTTCGGGATTTTTTTTTTCTGCCAGCATCATCCAGTGGCTGTGAGAAGCACTACTATGCGTGGGAGGAAAGTACTTCTTTTGATCTTTTTTTTTAGCATCTTTTAATTTCTATTCTTACACCACAAAGCTGAAAGAACTGAAGTTCCTGATCTTTCTGTGGAGCTATCTCATTGCTTACATTGTTGTTCTAACTTCATTTAGCCCACATTTCTCAATTTCCCTCCTGGGCTCACATGTGCCCTTGCAGCTCTGCTCCAAACCCATTATCAGCCACAAATGCTGGGGTAGGTAGGCAGAGACAGATACTGTGAGTGCCACTTTCTGCAGTCTAAAGGTCAATGGTGGCAGCAGACCTGGGGTCCTGGAGTCCAGAGCAGAATCACAGTATGTTGTGTCAGGGTGCTGTGGGCACTGAGGATGCCTGGATGAGGTATGGGATGTGGATTGCTGAACAAGGGTGTTTGGGCCAGGGTTTTCAGAAGCAGCGGTGGATCTATGAGCACACTAGGTAATTTTTTAATCCCTCAGGATCATTCTGGATCATTATTGTTTTTTGTGGTTTCTCCCTGTCCTTGCTGCCTTAGGTGCTCTCTGCGTTGGCTTCTCTAACATGTAGAAGGGAAGGCAAGAGGGAGAACCCCTCCAGACTGTCCTAGAGGTGCTTGCAGGTTGGATCTCTGGGTTAGATGGGGAAGGAGGAATGAATGTATTCTTTGCTCTCTGATATCAAACGCTAGCAAACATCTTTGTCTAGATTTATAAGAACCTGTTTACTGAACACTGGAGGAGTGGGGCTCAGTGCCCTGCCTGCATGGCTGCTGGGACTGTGGGCTGTGGCAGTCATACTGTTGTGAAGTGCAGCAGGTAATAAGATAAGCAGATAAGTGCCACAGATAATGTGGCAGAATGTCAGACCTGTGAGCCGAGCACCCCTGACCACAAGAGGAATCAGTTTGAGCAGAGGCTTAGCCACCAGCAAAAGGTCAGCAGAAGGCAATGTGCTGTATGGGACAGCATTATGGTAAATTTAACTATTATGTTAAATAGTTAGCCATCAGCAGTGGCTCCCCATGGCCCCACTGGAGTCATCCGCTCCTTTTCACATGAGAGGGCCCTGTGTGCATAAGTAGTTGCATATTTTGGCATGCTCCCCTGGCACCACTAAAAGAGCTCAGGACCTCATGGGTGTTCCTGGATTTGGGAGTGCAATGGTTGTTGCTGCTTTCCTGTTCCAGTGTGTTCCTGCTTTCCAGTTTCAGCCTTGAAAAGGCTGGACTTGTGTCTCTCTAACATTGCAAGGTCTGTCAGTGCCATTCAGTGTTTGGTTCTTAAAAGAAAGTTCAAGGTACCTAAAGGCAGGTAGCAATATTGAATACAGTGCAAGAAGGTAGACTGCTGTCATCAGAGTGAAGCACTTCATTTCAGACCCTGTGTTGTCTGTGAGTTTTCCTGTGAGCGTACAGTGCCATCCACAGTGAGGTCTTCATTTGGCCCAAAGCCTGTGCAGCTCTTTGGCTACTTGAATGAAATCAGTATCTCGCTTGAGATAAGGTTGAGAGGGGTCAGCTGGAAGCACAAGTGTTGTCCCAGAAGTCTGCAGGGAGGGGGACATTGTAATGCTTTCCCTGAAGAAGGACAACCCAGGACCTTGTGCGCATGTACTTGTGCTGACAAGGACCAGTCTGTTTGGTCCCTGTTGGCCCATGAAGTCTTCAGTCAAACCAAGAATGCTTTAAATAGTCACTGCGTATTTCCTGAGAGGTGACTTCCTTTGTGTTTTTGTCTCTCTAGGTATCTGAATTCCCTCATGAGAAGTGTCCTTCCTGCCTCTCATGTGCAGCCCTACCTGTCCATGGGTAGCACCAGCTTAACTGATGTCCTGAAGAGCATTCCTCACCATGGATAGTCCACCCAAACTGACTGGCGAGACACTGATTGTCCATCACATTCCCCTGGTGCATTGCCAGGTCCCTGATAGACAGTGCTGCTCCATGAGCAAACGGACCAACCCCTTCTGCCAGCCAGAGCTCAGCATTACACGGACCTCTGCCCTTCCAGACAGAGATCTATCACAAACTGATTCCTTGGTGTACAGCAGCTTTCTCCAGACCTCTGAAACCTCAACAGAGGCCTCAGACAACAAAGAAGGCAAAGCAAGGGATTTGATTGTCCCTAGTGTCAGTAAGCGACACAACCCTTTCCTGCTGAGTGAGGGTGAAGACCTCAGCATCTTTGGGGATGACTTGGGTCAAAAATCTTTCCACCTTCACAACTCACTTGTGGCTGGCAAACCTCCCTTTCATCTGCATGAGTTGGCCTTGCCCCCTTTCCACCTCCACGACTCCAATCACATTGTGAAATCCTGGAACATGGCCAGCCGGTCCGGTGTGGTAGATGGACAAGAGGACAAAATGAGCAGTGATGACGTCCAGAAGAGGAACAACGCGAACCGGTGCCACCAAGCCTCAGAACGCATGGAGCTGGATGAATGCAGCTGCCATCGTGGCAACTCCTCCAGCTTCTCCTTCGATGGTGGTGACCAGGAGTGGAACCAGAACACAGGTGAATTGCTGAGGAATCAGGATGCCCTGCACAGCCGGACATGCAGCTGTTCCAGCTCAGAGCTCCAGCACTGTCGCTGCTACAGTTCATCAAGTCAGTCTGAAGCAATTGACCAACAGATGGGCTACATCAGTGACTCTTCCTGCAACAGCTCCGATGGGGTGCTGGTGAACTTCAGTGCTCTCTACAACAAAATGAATGGCCATTCTCAATCTAACCTGAATTCGTCCAACCTGTCCTGTGACTCATCCTTCTGCAGCCACTCAGACACAGGAGCTTTTTACCTGGATTTGCATTCATCACCCACAGAATCCAAGATGTCTTGCGAGTCGCATCACCCAGAGAGTTCGGGGAAGGTGTGTGGGTGTCAACACTCCTCCTCACCTGTCCTTGATGCTAACTGCAACTCCTACCACCTTCACTGTGAGCCTTGCACTTCAGAGAGCTCAGACCTCACTGCCTGCTTCCAGAGCCAAGCACGGCTGGTTGTGGCTACTCAGAATTATTATAAGTTAGTCACATGTGACTTGTCTTCCCAGTCATCTCCCAGCCCGGCAGGATCTTCCATAACTAGCTGCTCGGAAGACCATACCAAAGGTAGCCCAGCCCAGCCCACTGAATATTATCTGTTTAGAAGGCCTGACCTGAGACAAGAAGAAGGCAACGTGGAGCGCAGTGAAGACGAGCCAAAGGGAGAAGCCACCCAGAATAGGATTGAGGGTCAGGTCTATGTGAACGTGTCACCACCTAACCTCAACACAAGCCGGCAGCGGTCCAGGAGCTACGATCAAAACCTTGACAGGAGTCCCAGCAGCAGGCTGGGCTCCTTGGAGCGCATGGTGAGCTGTCCAGTCAAGCTTAGTGAAAGTCCAGCAATACCCATCCAGAGTTCCCCCCCGAAGCGAGTGACATCTTTTGCTGAACTGGCTAAAGGCAGGAAAAAGAATGGCACCTCCCCACCGCTCCGGTCCACTGGTGATTCCTCCTTGGAGTTCTCCCCTATCCCTGAGACACAGCGGGATTGCCCAACCTTCCTTGAAGAAAGAGCTCGCCGCAGCCAGAGTCTTCCACCCATGCCCTTCGTCCACGGCCTGAACCGGAGCTGTGAGGGGTTCTGTTTAAATCATGCTTTTGGGGACAGCCAGGCTTTGTGTTCCACGAAAGACTCAGTCTCCAGTGAGAAGGTCCCCAGTGGCCATGGGGCAGGTGAGCAAGCCTCTCTCTCCCTGCTGACGGAGGCAGATGCCAGCTTCTCAGGTGGCTCTGCCAGTGGCCATGGACAAAGAGGTGTTAGAGCCCGAGCAGACGGTAAGGATCCAAACTAGGCAGAATGGAGAAGTAAAAAGAAAGACTGCTCTTTGGGACATGAGGGGAGCAGCAGAGGAACCTGTATGGTGATGGGAGACCAGTGCCTGTGCATTTTGTTTCCTGGTCTACCACTCCATGGACAAAGCCCAGCTGTGCTTATTTCAGACCCAGATCAGTGCAAGTGTCTTGTTCTTGTATTTTTAAAACCTCTTGAGGTTTTGTGCAAACCTCTTGTCTCATGTAAGGGAGAACATGGCATGAGCACTTAGGGTCTGCGCAGCTTGGAGGATTGTCTCCCTTCCAGGGCATTGTACTCCCCCAGTCCCTGAGAATCATCTTTAGCTCCTAAGACAGAGATTTGAAGATGCTCAGCAGACTCATGTTCCCAGCAGACAGGGAATGGAACTACTGAGGAGTTTTTAGGGTTTCTTCTTTGAAGCTACATGGGACAGAGGTGGAGAGGGAGGGGGCATAGCCAGCGGTCTCCCCTCAATGCAGGGTTAGGGAGCTTACACCGTCTCTGCCAGGCTTACAGCATGAGTCCTGCAGAGATTAGAGGAGCTGTGTGTCTCTGCTGGAATATCCTGGCCATATCTTCCACAGTGCCATGCATTGGAGCAAAGGTTCCTCTGGAGGGTAATTGTCCCAACTCCCTCTGCAGGAAAGCCAGTAGTACGTGAATTGCTTTCCACCTTGATACTGCCTTTACATGCCCTGCTGAGAAAGCTGTGTGACAGCCCCATCAGAGGTATGGCCATTTCTCCAGCATGGCAGGAGACCTCTATCTCTGCTCTAGACAGTTCTTGTACCTGCTTCACAGGTAAGAGCCTGTCTAAAATGGGGCTCTGACCGGATTGCTGCAGTAGATAACCCCCAATATGTATTCATTTAATGCCCTGAAGATTTCTGGCAGGAGATAGGAAGAACTTCTCAGTTGTTGCTGTGGCAGGTGTGGGAGAGATTTTGACCTTTGGAGTTTTTTGTGTATTGCCTTTAACGTGCACTTGGTGCAGGATTGCAGGGAAGGCAGGTCTCTGCTGGCAGAAGGCAGCGCGGGAGCAGCCCTCTTCATTTGCAGAGGGAGAGCTTAGAAGGAACGAGAGCTGGTCAGGGAGGAAGGGGCAGACAGGAGCTCTTCAGGACAATATATACCAGCAGTTCCCGCATCCCATGCTGCAGTCCCTTCCTCTGCACAGTGACAGCAAGAGAGGTATCAGAGCTGCACAGAAAGCTCCTGCCTGCAGCTGGAGATAGAGGCAGAGCTGCCCTGGTCCAGCTGAGGGCAGCATGCAAGCCTAGAGGGTCTGAGAAGGGACTAGAGGGAAAGCAAGCCCTGCTGAAGGCTAGTTATGGGGAGAGAGGCGTGGCACACCCCACAGGCAGCAGTAACACTGGGGCTCTGCTTGGGACAGGTGCTTTGTCCCAGATTTTGCTGTGGGCTGGAGGCGTGGGGCAGAGGCAAGGCAAAGGTTGCCATGCTGCACTGGGATGCGGTGTGGCTGGTGATCAGGGGCCCCCATCAGCCCCATGTGTGCACCCAGCGCTGTGCGTGTCGTGCACTCTGTGCGCAGCATGTCACACTTCAGCTGCATCCCTTGGGACATTGTGGCCCCACCAGGAGTTGCAGGCACTCATGGAAGATCAGCCCAGCACAGACCCTTAGGACATCCCCATCAGTCATTTGATGGAGCAGACCTGCCTTTTCCAGTGTTGGAAGCACTCCTAATTCTGCTGTGGTCTTGATTGGGAGTGTCCCGGTGTCCTGCTTGGATGTGGTACAGGCAAGAGGAGGAAGAAAGCTGTCTGCTCAGAGGGGGAACAGTTACAGGAGAGAAGAGGAGGGAGGGAGAGGGGAGGCAAGCAGCCTTTCCAACAGCACGGAGTATGACGTGGGATGCAGAGCTGCGGTGCTATTGCTTGTAATGCTTGTGCTTGGCGAGGTGAGCTCTCAGCACAGGTGGGAGAGGACTGTCCTTCGGGGTAAGAAGTCTTGCTGTACCACAGAGTGTTGGGCCACGTCTTTGTGGTACTGCCTGGACAGAGACAGGTCGAGGGCAGGTGCCTGGGGCCGTGACTTGTGCTGTCCTGGGTGCAAGGAATGGGGAAGAGATGGGAAGCTGGTGATGCTACAAGGAGAGGGAAGCCCCCAGTGCAGTGCCCTACACTTCCAGCCAGCTGTCAACAGCTGGAAACTGCATTTGGGGCCACATGTCTATACCCTGCCAGCTTGTGATGTCTGTAACCAGTTCAGACTTGAACCACTCTGCTTGTGTCATTGGCATCTAGCTCATCCTCTTCCTCCCACAGCTGAGAACTCATTCCCTTTTGCCTGTGATCTGCTGCGCTGATAATGGTTGTCCCTCTGCCCATCCCTCATACTTTGTCCCTTTTTCTCTCCCCAAAGGTGGTGGCACAGACAACAAGCCTGTGGTACGCTACAGCAAGGACCAGCGTCCCACGACTCTGCCGATCCAGCCCTTTGTTTTCCAGCACCATTTCAGCAAGCCAGCCCGGCCCCGCCCCAGCCATTTTGCCTCCAGCCTTTCCCAACTCTACAACTTGTCCAGCAACCGTCCTGCCAGCCAGCAGATCTCCAGTTCCCAGTCCTTAGCCTCAGCCACCTCAGCAGAGCAGTCATCAGCGGCGGGGAGCCAAGCCCACAGCATGCTCCTGACCCAACGCTCAGCAGATGGAGCTGCCTCCCACAATGACGGCTGCATTAAGAAGCCTGTCCCCGAGACCACCCGGCCGTCCCCCCTGGGGAGTTACTCTCCTGTGCGATGCAACGTGCCTTTCTTTCAAAGCGTGGACTCTTCTTCCTCACCTACTGCAGAGAAAGCTGGAGAGACCCAGCCCCCCAGGAGCAGGTCCTGCCCCATCTCCGCCAGTCTGCTTCCCACGAGGTCTTCCCCTGCTGTCAGTGCCATGCAGACCACCCAAGCCACCAAAGCTGATGCCCTGAGGCAAAAGGAGAACCCCAAGCCAGTTCCCAAGAAGGAAGCACCGCTGGAGCCAAGCCCACCGCTTTCCGAGTACCGACTCCACAGTGGGTCCCTCCCACCCTTCATGGTGGGTGGCATGCCGATGAGCAGAGTGAGAGGCCATGCAGATCCACACTGGAGAAGTGGCAGTGAGTCCAGCAGCTCTGGTTCCCTGAGCAGCATGGGAATTAGGCCCCTCAATGGTAGGTACCCATCTGCCAGGACGTACTAGACTATCTCCATCTCCCTATGACTATGGCTGCTCCCTGTAGAACCACCCTCTCTTACACAGCCCAGGCCAAAATTGCATCTGGATGCTGTGGTCCCCAACAGCTCTGACCATCACTTTGCCTGCAAAAGAAAGTCCTACACTAAGAGCATGTCCTTCCAGTCCTGGCTCCTTCACTGTGTCTCGGGAGAGGGCAGTGTGGGCTGCTGATCTTACAGCACCCCATGCCAGGTGCTTGCTCCCCAAACCTGCTCCCTCTATGCCCGCAGCCAACAAGGCCATGCAGGCTCCTGCCCTGCCAGGCTGTGGCCTCCACCTCCCTTCATATTTGTGTGCTAACGCCCTGCAACGCTGATGGACTTTTAACTAATATGCCGTCTCTCTTTCTCTGTCCTTCCTCTTTCTCACTCTCTCCCCGTTTCTCCTCCACATCCTTCTGCCTGCTCACGTCCTCCCATCTGGTGCTCACTGCCTGCGGCATCCTAGCGAACCACCTCTCTCCCCAAGCGCTGAAGTGGCGGGAGTACAGGCGGAGGAACCCCTTGGGTCTGGACCACGTTTCGGGGCTGCCCGGCTTAGCAGGCAGCCTAGACAGGAGGCAGCAAGAGCCTCGGCTGAACCGGGGGAACCCCATCTTTGAGCTCCCTGGCACTCTCAACAGCAGCCATTTCCACTGCAAGCTGAATGGTGCGCACCACCTTTCTGCTGGGGGGTCTTGGGAGGTGACCTTGGGGCTCAGGGTCAGTATCCATTGGGGCTCAGGTTCAGCCTGGCTTCATCACTGCTCTGCCGGCTTCGAGTGGGAGGGGTGATGCATCTGCTCACAGTGGGTCTGAGGGCTACAAGAGGAAGGTGAACATTGCCTCGCTGATGGGTACAATCTGTGTGGAGCCTCCCTTCTTCTCCATGAGCTGAGAACAAGTCAGATCCAGCTCTGGGCTGGATCAAAGGGGAAGGTGAATGGCCCAAGAGCCTGCTCAGAGCTCAGCAAGTGCTCCTAGACTGTGTCCAGCTTGTAGTTCATGTCTCACACAGGAGTTGTGGCCCTTTGAGATCTCGTGTCTGTGCCCCATAGTGTCTGCCCATGTGCCCCAACCCTGGCAGCCTGGTAGGTGCTGGGCTGTAGCTGTCATGGGGCAGCTGGCAACACCGTAAGTCTCCACGGCTTTCTCCATGCTTTGCCTTTAAGGTCTTCTCTGTCATCCAAAACCTGTGGAGGAAGGGATGAGAGGGGCAGGCCACTTTTGGCTGAACCTTTGAGAGTCCTCTGGGAAGAATAGTTTGGTCTCTCTTTGGAAGGCTGAGCATTCTTCAGGCCAGCCTCAGGTCATGGAGGGAATTCCCCAATTCACCTCAATTTGCCAATCCAAACAGTTTCTCCATCACTCCCTCATGGGAAGATGCCTACCACAGAGCTGGGGAGTCAACCACATGGAAATTGAGCACATGGAAAAGCTCCTACGGAAGTCACCCTTGAAAACAGAGGCCGTCCTACGGGACAGGCAGAAGACATGTAGTTTGTTTCCTGTGCATGCCTGTGTGTGACAAGTCGGGATTCTCTCTGTGCTCTACTTTTGACTCCACTTGCTGGGGCTATCTGTACAGGAACCCTGACAGCCTGGTGCAGCAAGGTTTCCCTTAGCACCAGCCCATGAAGGTGAACCTCCCAGAGTATCTTCCAGTGCCCACGGGCCTCCAGTCAAGCTGGAGTTAGATGTTGGGTGGGCTGTGGGGCTGAACTGTGCAGGTTCACCTTGCAAACCATTGCTGGGAGAGTAACAAGCCTGTAGACTTGCTGTCTCAGCCTTGGACAGGATGGGGTGAAGACTGCTGCTGGTGCAGGTTGCTTTTGGGAAATGCAAACAAGGTGGGAGAGGCTTTGGTATAAAGTCTTGGGGCTGATCCTTCCCCCTCCCTGTCTTGGCCCTGCAGGACAGTCTATGAGGCAACTCCAGCTTACCTACACTGACTTCTTCCCTGACTACTTCTCACTAGCAGAGAAACCCCCCGCGGAGTTCTGCCTCTCCCCAGATGGCAACACAGAGTCCATCTCCATCGACTTGCTGCAGAAGAAGGGTGAGTCCGTGCATCTCTCGTGAACGAGAGTGTGGCATAGCACAGCTTATGGCTAACGTTGCTTCTCTCCGTCTCGTCTCATCTCATCTCTGTAGACATAATGATTTCTTTCCTTGCCCTTCTCTACTGTAGTATCATAACTACATGTCCCCCTAGACTCATGGCTGTTTCCACAGTAAGTTCTTGTGGTCTCTGCACCATGCAGTGTGCCATGGAGTATGTCTGAGCTTCTTGTCCCAGGAAGTATGATTAGAAAGGATCTTAAGTCCACAAGAAAGGGCAGAGAGGGCAGGCAGGCACAGGAGTATCACCCTATGGCAGGGCGTGCTGCCACCTCTGTCTCAGTATACAAGGGTAGACCTGTGTATTCTGTGATGTTGCAGATGCACTAGCCTGATATTTTATAATTTAGATAAAAGGTCTGTTGGGTCCTACATGGTAAATTGTTTGTATAAAAGGATGAGAGAAAGGATTCCAATGCAGAACAAGATATGGCTGTGGTGAAACCCATGCTAGAAGCAGGGTTGGGGGCTGGGTTGTTGACAGTTACTCGGATTCATTTCAGAGGCAAGGGGTGTGCAGAAAGGTTCCCATGCTTTTGCCAGCTATCTGTTGGTGATTACCAGGTGGCAGCTTTCCCCTTTATTCCACTTCTGTTCTTGCATCATACTGATGCAGATATCAGATTACCCACCACTGGCTTGTTACTGAAAGTCATTACATAGCTTGCTAAATGGATGGCCTCTGCCCTGCCACCCTGTAGGCTCAGAGCAGCAAAAGACTCATTGCCTGAGATGCCATCTCTGCTCCCTCGAGGGATGGCGTGTGGAGGTGATTATCCATGTCCCTTGGGAATGTTGACAGGGTGTCCTATGCTTCAGCCACTTCTAAAGGTTGTCCTGCTGTTCAGGCTGATAGGTGAGTGTTGGAACAGGCAGGGACAGATCTGGTGATGAATTAGGAGAGGCTCTGCATGTTTGTGGCAGAGCGGGCATGTGCGCTGACATGGGCTTGAAACACCTCTGCCTGATTTCTTCATGAAGTGTTTGGTCAAGGTCTGTCCTAGAAGCCCCTCAGTTAGCTCTCAGACTCATTCTTTCCCTCTAGGTCTGGTGAAAGCAATCAACACTGCTGTTGACCTGATTGTGGCTCACTTTGGAACGAGCAGGGATCCAGGGGTGAAGGTACGTCTTGCTTTCAACATCGTGAATGACATGGAGAGGATGGAGAAAGATTGCCTCTCCATTCTCTTCCAGTCAAAAACTACAGGGTATCCAGCGAAGGTAGTAGCACCAAGAACAAACTTAACAAAGCTGGTGGTACACCATGCAGCAGGTAGTAAATCTATTACAGTTCTTTCTGCAGGATACTGGTGGTGCTAAAAGAGTAGACAGATTTAAAAGAAGATCAGGAAAACACAGGGAAGGGAAATTCATTGAGGTCTCCTAAACACATAGGAATAATGACCAGGTTACATAGTCTCTGAGTTGAGAGTGGTTGTAGGCTGCGAGAGTGTTAAGGGCAAGTATTAGATATACTTTCTCTGGTTTGACTCTTTCTTACATACTTACTGATGGCTCTTTATAAGAAAGAATACCAGGCCAGCTGGACTTCTGCTCTGAAGCAGTACACCAGCTTTTTTTTCTCATACAGTGGAGAGTTGTGTTTCCCTCCTCCACAGGTCCAGCAATGCTGTTCTGGCACTGGTGCCAGGACACAGTGCAATGTCCCCAGTCCCTTGATGTGTCACAGGGCTCCGTCATGATAAAAAAGTGCATCAGTCATTGCCCATCTGAGGCAGGTGGGCATCCCCTGTAGCCCTTACCATGAACCCACTAGTTTCAGAGTGCCTCTAGGTTGCCCATGGGGCTGGCTGTCTTTGGCCTGTGCTCCCCTCATCTCCCATTTCTGGAATAACACAGAAGCAGAGCAAGTTTGCTTCTCTTTGTACCAGGCAGTGTTTACCACATTCCACTGTGTTTGTGGTGCCTCTCAATGCTGAATGCTCTGCTTCAGGCAGGGGACTCTGGGCCAGCAATGTGACAGTATTTGGACATGACAACTGTCCTGGAATGCCATCCCCAAGGAGAAACTTGACTGGGACAGATTCCAAGCCCATTCAATCTTAGAGCCCAGGGTAATTTGCCCCTAATTCCAGTTGTTGCTGATGCAGAGATTGCTGTGCAGGAGCTGTTGGGATTCCCACAGCTTTTTAAGACTTCACTGTGAATTTCCTATTCTTGCAGTGTTGGTTTGGGGAATAATTGCAACATTCCCCCATTACTTTACTTACCAGACAACGCTGTGGTTTTGACCTGGGATTTCAGTATGTGTCAGCATGCCAAGGGCTGAGCATTCACCTGTAAAAAGGCAGCACCCGTCCCTGATGCTCCCACGCTCGATGGATCTGACAGGATTATTCCTGACCCAGAAGTTCAATCTCAGTTCAGGGCCTTTGTGGACCCGTGCCAACTGGCCAGTATAATTCCAGCTCAGCTGGTAAAATCTGTGCCCTGAACACAGCTGCCTGGGACCACCAACATGACGTGCAAGGCCTAGGGCTGACCCCTTTGGGTACTCCCCTTGGCAGCTCACAGATTGTGTGCAGCAGGATACCACGCTGCTGCTGCTGGGCTTTTAGGTGCTGCCTCACCTCAACCTGAGCCCTGTCCATCCATTTTGACCTCATCCTGTTTATTTATAGTAATCCCTAGGAATTATAGCTCAGCATGTCACTGAGTTAAGTGTTCCTTAACTCCTCAGTGCTGGTGGTTCCTATGTGGCTTGCTACTTCCTGCTTCAAAAATGTCAACAAGAAAATCTACAGCAGCAGCAAAATCCCCTACTCTTTTCTTCCTCCAGCAGGACAGCCTTGCTACACCTGTAGGCAGAACCAAGCATCTCTTCTAATTAGGGTATCCTCTTCCCAAGCTGGGATACTCTTTTCCCAAGCTGTTGCCTCATCCCAGCCTGGGGCAGACCTTGCAGGGAGCAATCCAGAACTGGGGTATGAGGCAGCAGGCGTGAAGCGGAAGAGCCTGCCTGTTCAAGGAGCCGCTGAGCATCATTTCAGCCTGGATATTGCCTGCTGGGTGTCTGTAGTAGGCAAGTGGGGCTGGACTGTTTGTATGCATCTGCACCTTGCAGAGCAATTACCAACACTCTCCCTGTTGCCTGTTGTCCCTTAGGCCAAACTGGGGAACAGTTCCGTGAGCCCCAACGTGGGGCATCTCATCCTGAAATACCTGTGCCCTGCTGTCCGGGACATTCTGAGTGATGGGCTCAAGGCTTACGTCACGTCCTGGACATGATCATTGGCCAGAGGAGGAACATCCCCTGGAGTGTGGTGGAGGCGTCCACCCAGCTTGGTATGGAGCGTGTGCAGCGATGCGCATCACTCTGCGATACTCCCATGTTGTGGCTGGGAGGTGCTGGGGAAGGCTGACTATAGAGATGGGAATGCAGAATAATACCTGTCTCCCTGCATGGAACAGGGTGCACCTTGACCACCTCTTACCAGAGGGGAGAACCACTGCCCAAATATTTATTGTCATTTCCCCAAAAATTTCCAAATTCTTCTATAGCAGGCCCTAGCAATTTAAAAAAAAGGAACAAAACGAGTGTGACTTTCCCCCCCTCTACATTTCCAGAGTGTTTCTAGACCTTCATCTTTAGCCCTGCACAGCTACTGTCCTCTAGCCTGTAAGAAAATTTGCACTCACAGCTCACTTGCCTCAAGCATGCCCACAACACTTGCACCTTCTGCTAGTAGCAATCTGCACCCTGGATTGTGGCAGTGGCTACCATCCAGGATAAGTCCTTTCTGAGGTTACAGATGGAAGGGCCACACTGATTTCTGCATCATGAAGAGCTTACATCCAGGGCTGGGAAGCCTCCTGGCCTGTTTGTGGCAAATCTCCAACTCTGAGTTTACCTCTGTGATTGCAGACACCCCAAATTATAACCACCCACCACAATATTTTGTTTGCCTGCTAATTTTGAGTCAAGGGCTGTGATTGTCCCTGAAGTGTGGGAGGCAGGTCCTTGCAGTATTGAAACTCTCCCAAAATTTTGTCGTGGCAGTCTGTGACAGACCACAATGTATCTCCCTTGTGGAATCTAATTGTTGGAATGGAGTGAGCTCATCTTGGTGTTTGGTGAAGGGGCAATGGGCATGGGCACCCAGCCAACGCCTTTCTTTGCCTTGATGCTCCTTTGCGTGGTGCTGTTTTGCCTTTGCTGACCACAACTAATCTCAAGATTTTGCTTCTCTCCATAGGCCCCTCTACCAAGCTGCTGCACAGCCTCTATAGCAAGATCAGCCAGTACACGGAGCTCACCAACCACATCATGAGATTCAACGCATTCATCTTTGGCCTCCTCAAGTAAGCAGGCTCCCTAGGCTGTCTGCATGTCATTGTCCAGGGCTGTCAGCAGGTGCTGGTTCTTGACTGCAGGCAGGCGTGGTTGCCAACGAAAAGGCTTAAGAAACCTGGGAAGCCACTCCCCAACTGTAGGTGAGGGAAGGAAGAAGCTCTGAGCCTCAGGGAACTCCAGAAGGATCAAAACCTATGCTACCAGGCCAGGACTAAGAAGAGGTGGCTGTAGCCCACTGATGAACATTGTCAGCTTGTTTTATCCCCAAAACATTAGGTGGGAAGAGTCTGTCTTGTCAGGGGTCATACAAGGTTAGACATAACATACACATAAATTACTCCTGGAAATCCCTGCATAAATCACTGCTTCCTGGAGTTCCAGTGAATCTCAGGGCATGAGGTGTTGAAGGAGAAGTTGTCTTGGTCCAAGACTCCAGGCTGGCCTTTCCAGGTTGGATAAGGAGTGTGCACACTACACTCAGTGTTAAACAGAAGGCGGCAGTGATGTCTTTTTGCCAGTGAAGGGTTGAGTGCTGCTAGGATGGTATTTCCCTGCTCCTTTCCAGTGATCAGCAAGAACTCTGGCAGTGGCAACCGAGTCCCCAAGATCTCCCAAGTGCTGGAGGACTGCTACAAGCAGGAACAGGCTCTGCCCTGCTCTCCCCATGCAGGGTGGCCCAGCTGTCCCCTGCTGGCACAGGACACCAGCATATTTTGGGCCAAGCCTGCAGCAACGGTCTCACATTTGTAGATGATTTGCGTCTTCCGTGTGAGCCCTTCTTAGCAAAGCTAAGCTCTGCCAAAGATGTAGGAACTAAATGGTGAGGAAACTTGCTGGAAACATGGTTATTAGGCGTTATGGCTGCACAATGGCCCATGTAAAGCAAACTGAATGGCTCCGTGACAGGCTGGGTGGCTGTGGTCAGTGCATGCTGTTGGGGGTGAGCAACTGTCCTTTCACTAGGTCTTGAGGTTCATGGTGTGTAAATGCTCTTTTCCAGTCACACTTCTTTTCGTAGAACAGTGAGGATGAAGGGGCTGAATCAGTTTTCACTCTTTCTTTCTTTCTTTCTTTCTTTCTTTCTTTCTTTCTTTCTTTCTTTCTTTCTTTCTTTCTTTCTTTCTTTCTTTCTTTCTTTCTTTCTTTCTTTCTTTCTTTCTTTTCTTTTCTTTTCTTTTCTTTCTTTTCTTTCTTTTCTTTCTTTTCTTTCTTTTCTTTCTTTTCTTTCTTTTCTTTCTTTTCTTTCTTTTCTTTCTTTTCTTTCTTTTCCTTGTTTTCCCTTCCTGCAGTATCCGGTCCTTGGAGTTCTGGTTCAACCACCTCTACAACCATGAAGGTAAGAGCCTGAGGCCTATGGGCTGCACTGGGGAATAAATTCTGCACAGTGTAGAGCATGGGAAGGACATGCATTTCTCTTGTCGGTTTCTCAGCCTGGGCTGCTCCCCTATCCTCTAAGCTGAAGAACTAGACTACACACTGTACCAGGGAAGTCCCAGGTGGAAATCCAAGCTCCATGCAGCTCCCTCCACCTGAGCCTGGCCAGTCATGTCCTTCCCAGCTGCAGCTAGTACCCAAGGCTATCACCTCCAATGCAGATCCCTCAGTCTACCATCAGGACCTGACATCTAACCCTCCCCAAATTCCTGTGTTCCCTGCCCAGTGCCTGAGAGCTTTGTATGAATGGACATGTGCACACTTAGCTGAAACCCTTCAGGCATGGGCAATGGGAAGAAATTGAAGGGAAAACCTCCTGACACACAAAAAGCAGATTTTACTGGATGTATCTGTTTTTTCAACCAGAAATGTTTCTAGAGCATGCAGATAACCCCTGCCTGATGTCTATAAGCAGCATGACTAAGTGCTAGGTGCACAGTGAGACAGACACCGTCAACCTGCTGGACCCCTGAGAGTGCTGCTGGCTCAGCCTGTGCTCAGCCCAGGGCCCCATGCACTGCAAGAAGTCCAGCCCAGTATTTTCTGACAGGTTTGGAGGCTGACAGCATTTCCCAGGTCTGCGTGTGCAGTCAGCACTTCTCTCTGGAGCAGACAGGAGAGTAGACTTGCCTTTGTACTGAGCAGTGTGGCAAGAGAAAGCATCCTGGTTTTCTGGAGCAGGAGATGACCATCTGTTTCAAGCCATCATTAAGAGCTGAAGTGTGAGCAAAAGCTAGGGCTTGTCAGGGTGATGAAGGCTAGGCAGAGAGGTTGAAGATAAGGTAAAAGTCCTGTCTGTGGTGTTAAGTTTGTTATCTCACTGGGGCCAAATGGCCACAAATCTTGTTCCCAACTCTCTCCCTGGGATTGAGACCTGATGGCAAAACTGGAGAGGGGAGGCACTGCGGATGTGGCCAAATGAAGTGAAGGAGGAATGCTGCAGGTAGAAATGCTAGTCCATTTTCTTTTACAATCCACAGTTCAGCTCAGCCAGGTCACTGGAAAGACTTATATTCATCTGTCCCTGACACCGCTCTCTGCAGGGGACTGGTACTGGCCAGAACTGCAGCTCCTTGTTCACCTCCAGGAGATGGGGAGGAGAATTTTAACGTGCCAACCCTTCGATACTCTTTATTTGCACCCTGCTCCCATGGTATTTTGTGGCAGAGGTCATCCTGGTGGATAGCCTGCCAGGCAGGTCCTGGCAACTGGAAGCAGGATCTGGGACAGTTTGCTGAAAGCTCACAGAGCACCTGGTGCTCCCTGACTAGTGCTGAGCCTCATACTGCAGCCACAGCTGTGACCAAAAACTCTTCCCCGTAGCTTCAGCAGCTTCTCGGTGGCTTGACAAAGGTGACAACAGATATCTCTTGTCCTACAGATATCATCCTGGCACACTACCAGCCAGTGGGCTTCTTGTGCCTGTCTCACAGCGTGTGCCAGCCTCTTTTCTAAGAGCTCC